GGAACAGGCTACGTCTTTGACATAGTCTTTTACTACCATCTTGTGCTTGTTGGCTAGCGTAGAAGCTACAGTTCTGCTAAGCCGATGCACTTGGTCCCCTAAGCGCAGTCTATCCACACAAGCACGACTGATGAAATTTCGTGTAGAGCCTGTGTCTGCGAAGGCGCCAATCTTGTGGCCACCTACATCTACTTCTACCACGAAATGTTCACCCTTTGGACCTCCACTCATCATCGCCCAAGAGTCCCTGGGGTCCTTTCCTGACCACTCAGTCTCTAACTCTTCTAGGGCCTTAGACACATCTCTCGAACAGAGCGTCGGTGGGTCCGAATGTGTCTGCGGGGCGATATGTGGGTCACTAGCCTTGGCCAACGCCTGAAGTGGGGAAGGCAACGTTACCACTTCACCGCGAGTAAGAGCAGCTAACACTCCTACTGGCCCGAGGTGTTTCCCTGTGAGCTGCTCGCAGAAGCACTCCCAGGGTTCGAAGATAAGCCCACCACCGTTGGTGAAGCTACCTTCGTTGTGACTTTCTTGCCGCGGTAAGTCCTGSACGTGTGGCCAAAGTTGCCATAGTTCATGCATGTACCCCTAGCAACGCGGTCACGCCACACCTCGTATTCTAAACCAATTTTCACCCATGCGGGTGTTCCTTGGTCGCCCTGACCCGTGGACCGTACTACCTTCTTCTTCCCGGTCCCCCTAGCCTTTTCCTTGATGGGTGCCACGACTCCACCATCTGAAGTCTCACCACCCCCATCGTGCTCTGTGAACTCCCCAAGATCCGAGCAGTCCTCAATCTCCGTCGTCTGACCATCGTGGTCAACGAACATTAACTGACCCTTTTTCTTCCAGTCTTGGGGCAGTCTCTTCCTACCATCATTGGATGCCTTATGCGCAAATCCTAGCTTTGCCTCTATGTCCAGTGCTTTCTTACTAAAAGAAGCAAAAGTGTGYTGGTCGATATAGGYCTCGTCAACCRGCTTGGTYCTTACCTCTGTAGGTAGGCACCTTAGGTAGTCCGTTAGGAGAACCTGCGGGTCAAAACGCACACCAGGTACCACGAGGAGGCGTTCTACGGTGTCTATAAGCTCTCTAACATCCTTGAACCTACGGGAACAAAGGTTGTTGATAGCATCGGTGGCCTTTTGAGCCCCTTGCGGATCATTCCACCTGTTGTAGACGGACCGTACGAACTGTTCCAATGTCTGAGACTGAGCCCAAGCATCGAAATCCTGACCGTAGCCCTGTTGCTGCACCAAGCCATTCAACCAGCGGGCTGCTGATCCTTCTAAAAAGGAGGCAGCCACCACAACTTCCTGTTCTGGCCTTGTGAGCTTGTGCCTCACATAAGTAGGCACAGTCCTCACCCAGGTGTTCAAGTCTTCCTCCTTTTTCTTGTCTCCAGAGAAAGGCTTGGGACTCATTAGAGGTATCTTGGGCATCCACTGCATCGGCTGCATAGGCCGAGGTGCTTGCTGCAGCGGCTGCGTAGCCACTGAAACAGGTTGTTGCACACTAGCCTGGGCCTGGCTGGACAGTGGGACTGTAGTGACCACTGTTGTAGATGGTACGGCTGAGACTGTATGAACCGGACCACTAGTTGCTACTAAACCACCCGGGGAGGGTATGCCAAACATGGGAGAGAAAGTTTGCCCTGTGCGTTGCGGCATCGATGATGGACCTGCACCTACAGGGGGAACTACAGCAAACGGCGGCTGCCTCACCATTGTGCGAGGGCCCCGAAGTTCAGCCAGAATTTGTTTCTGGCCTGCTACCAAATCAGCCAACAATTCCTGCTGGACGCTTTGCGCTTCTGCTACTGAAAGTAAGGCTCCTCGCAACACACGAACAACAGGATCCAATATTGACTCATCCAGTCTTTTCAGTCTGCCTAGCTCCTGAGCTCTACTCTCTAGTCTAGCTTTTCTTTGCATAGCTTTCCTTCTCCTCTCTACTACTTTGTCCATCTGCCGCTGTAGCTCATCCTGAAGTTCTTCTGCTTGCCGGATTTCCAAGTCCTCTGGCGTGATAAGAGATTGGCTGACTCGCACATGACCAATCTGACTAGTGGCTGCCTGAGTACCACTCTGACTGACTCCTGACGAAGTGGGCTGTGTAGAGGATTGTGTCATAGATGAGGTAGCCATGGCTGTACTGATGCTAGTTGTAATTCTAGCTTTAGCACTGTCCTCAGCTGCCCTCGCTCTTCTTGCCGCTGCCCTCTCTCTAGCCTCTCTCCTCAATCTTCTCTCATCTCCTGGACCTAACTCCAGGAATGTCAAGGGTCGACTGCGGGCAGTCCCGCGAGTAGTCCTACGGTCGTCCACTAGTAGTTCCTCCTCACTTGTGCTTGCATCACTCATGAGCTGCAGTGTGTGTGATCTAAACTAGAACCCACACTGAATCCTACCTTAGCTTGACACACAACCGATTATGAAACACAACTACTTTCGGTCGGATGGGACAAAACAGTTGGGTGATATAGCTAAAACTAATGTCAGGTCCTACAGGATATATTACATCTATTTTTAGATTACCCTGGAACAGATTGCCATACAGCAAAGATCTAATCTATCTGTAGCTGTCTGTCAGTTGTCAGCAAGTCCGTAACAACTAGATAATCAAAACAAAGAATGTTTGATGGCAGATTGTCTGTTGATTGCCACTGCGAACAGTTACCGGAATCCCCCCTCCCCCTGTATCCTTCTTGAGTAATCACTTTGTGTCAACGTCCCTGAGCATCTGGTTGAGCAGCGTGTCTAAAGGTGTGCAATCCGGTCCCACCCCTGTGCCTCAAGTCATCGTCGAGCAAGGCAGCCACAACACTCTTATTTACCCTCGTACGCCGACGAGCCTTACACCTAGTTGATCTGGCTGATCTGGAGGATTATTAAGAGCGCCCCCATCTCTTCAGGAATTATTTAACGTCGCAGTCAGGACGACGATCACAGCCAGATTCAATCTGAGTCCCCAATCAGAAATGTTTATAGACGATCTGGTGAGCGTCTCATAGAGGCTGCCATGCCCGAGTTGACCCCTATTTGCGCAAGCAGCAGAACAAGGACTTGCGGCCCAAGCATGCGTGTACTAGTCCCAGCGGGTTGGCATGGTGACTGTGACCCGAGTGCTTCGTCCAGGGCCCTTCAGAGGCTTCGCTCGTCTCCCACCAGCTTGCTGCCCAGGARGAATGTCGACTCTCAAGGTTGAGCGCTCGCGACACCTCACATCGAGAGGACTCTCAAGACAGAACTCACTTCCTCACGGTAAGAAGAGATGAAGAGGGTASATAAGGAAGAGAGCAACGTACCTCATAAATGCTGCCCCCAACCACAGATTTCTCACCGGTAACCTGATGTGCAATTATGATGACCGGTCTTTGCTTCGGCACAACCAACAGCAGAATGTGGTTCCACCTCAGCTTAATATGTCACATCAGCAAGTTCTCATCATCCAGCATACATCCCGTATGTCACCWCATAGCTYCCYGGCGSGCCCACACAACCCTGGGCCRCCTAAYGTYCAACGCCAATGCCGTATCACTGCCCCACACCTCATGCGAAGCACCAATAGCTATTGCGAAGAACCAATGAAGCGCAATATGAACCAGCTCCGATACCAAATTGCAAGGAAAATAAGCAACAGCAAGATGACAATCCCAGATCACACCATCACATTGCAAGTCAAATAGTCACACCGTGTCCAGATAGCAGCATTGCACCAATAATACACCAATGGAGTTTCGTAGCACTGAAAACCAATGTTTATGGAGAGCACACTCTCTCCTCTTCAACACAAGTATCCAGTTCCCTTACACTCACACTTGGCGCTCAGCGCCCAGCCTACGTCTACACAGCTACTACAGACTACAAAACGACAATGCAACTGTTGACATCAGCAGCAGCCCAAAGTACTTGAAGATGCCGCCCATGCAGACCATCGCCAATACAAGGTACGTGCCCTCACATCATCATCATCATCATCATCATCATCCTTCACCTATCCCCTGACTTCACCCACACCTGTCCTCTCTGACACACGAAAAACCACCCCTGCGCCTCACTCTGTCCAAGCCAAGCCCGCTATGGAGGCTGGCTATGGCGCTGCCCTCAGCAGCGCCCTGTTCCCCTACACGACCGCACGTGTGTTGCCCCTTGCTCCTCTGCCGGCAGTCAGCCTGCAAGCTTTTGCTCCAGCAGCGCTGCCGCCCAGCCAGCAAGTGACCGAATGAGCTGCCTGGCCAGAGCTCTTTCCTTTATGGAAAAGAGCTGGCCAGCTCTCGCAGSCTGGCTGGGCTGGCCTGGGCCCAGCAGCTTCCGGAAGGCCCCAGGATGCTGTCTGGATGCAGCAGCTACTGGGCTGCTGGGCCTCGTTCGGTTGGGCGCCCAACTGTCTCTGTATGAGGCTGCGAATCACGCCCAGGGCCTGCATTCTTTGGAAAGGCCYGGTAGGCCGTGGAAATGTCTTYGGTACTCGGCCTGTGTTTCTTTCAACCAACTGGCGCGTCGCAACTGCCTGGACCCCAAATATGAAATTGACAGTCGAGGGCCTCTTGCAAAAAGCCAGGCCCGCCTTCACTTAGGGCGGGCAAGGCTGCAGACAGGGCCCCGTAGGCCTACCGAGGACACTGATCCTCGCAGTTAATTTGACACTAAGTATTACAAATATTATGAATGCTACAAATATTACGAATGTTACAATATTACGAATATTACGAATATAAAAAAAAAAACGAATATATTCAATATAAGTTGTATAACAATATTGAAGATGAGGCATAATTGTGTTTTGGGAACTTTTGACCCTTCATAAAGAGTTACTATTGAAATAAAATCGAGAAATCAAATTTTGCAATTTTGAAAAGTGAAAAATAAGAATAAAAAAATATTTGGAATATTTGGATGTGATGTTGTGTTTTTTATTGAACTTCTTTTTTTTTGTTTTTCAATTTTCAATTTTCAAATTTTAAATTTAATATTGTTTATGTGCTGTCCTTGCAGTGCGGACGGGATGCTGTATGGTCCTCTCAAAAGGTGTCCTCTGTGCAATGGATCGCTGATGTACACTTGGGACGGCTATAAATGCCTTGGGGTTCTTTCCCCTTGGAGTGGGTGCTTTATGACTCTGAGGGAGAGTGTGAGGAGAGAGGAGGCATGGAAGATTCCTGAAGACACTGAGAACCGGTTTCTCATCGAGGTACTACGGGCCTTGTAAGGGGATACTTGCTCACAGCAGGATTTTCCTGGATGCCCCTGGACACAATGCTGGTTAAGTTCAGACTCGGAAATCGTAATGTGATGCGAGTATATCGCGTAGAGGATAACTGACCCCAAATAAAAAAAAGGAAAGTGCTGCTCCCTCATAAATCCATAATAAAATATAATAATTTAATGAATATTAAAGTAATAATTCTGTTCATGTTCATCTCTCTTTTCGTTTCGGTAACTCCAAGAGGTGATGCTAATCATGTTATCCCGCAAAAGCTTTTTGTCTTTCATTGCCTTATGAAGGCAATTTGATCATGTGATGAATATTTTATTGCTCTCTCTCTCTCTCTCTCTCTCTCTCTCTCTCTCTCTC